CTTTTTGGTATGTTCCCTATATTTTCATTTCTAGTACCTGTCAGTATATCTATGGTGGAGGGTATCCAAAGTTCGGCCCGGCCAAACTTAACGCTTTTTCACTTGGATTATGTTTGATATTACATACACAAAGCGCATTTAGGAAACAACACGTAAAATACTTTCGCAGTTTGTCACAATATCGTCACATAAATTACGAGCATACAATAAATTAATTATATTACATCATGAAAAAATACTTATAATATTATAATCACTTAAGACCAACAAATACTTTTTGGATCCACTGTGCATTCCATAGTATCATCGATTATAAAAACGAAACATTTAAATATAAGTTTGAAAAATTTAAATTTACATTAATTTGATTTTAAATTATTATTTTCCCAAACACGCTGTATTTTTTAATATTTTATATAAACGTTGTTAATGTATTCCGAATAAAATATTTGAATGCAAAACATTTCGATTGCATTGCTGGCGTTTTAGCTAGATTGACCAATCTATAGTAATTATTCAAAGATATTATTAATTCATTTCGTTTTTTTATGTAAAACACCATTAATTATGAACATCGAAATATCTTTGGTATGATCATACTGTTGCTGTGGTCGTTGTTGTTGTTGTTAGTTTGCCTAATATTATTTATATTCATTGGGTATTATGTCAACAGTAGCCATATTTCTTAAATTTATGTAAAAATTATTTTTTTTAATTAGCTGTTGATAGTAGGCTGAACAGTTTTGTGTGTATAGGCCAATTAAGCCATTAGGGGTTATGAAATCTAAGTGTATCGGTTAAATTGAGTAATTAGCAAGCATCCACAAAAGATTCATTAAACTTTGTAACAAATAACTATTGATTTCATTATGGGATATAATATAAATTCCAGGATCTAATCATACTTGATGTTCTGTAGATCAGAATTGTAGGGCTACTATTATTTTAGGACTCATTTATTCGAAATTGGCACTATGCAATTAATAAATGCTGGATAAAAACATCAATTAAATCTGTAAAGAAATTAGTAAAGTCTGACGGGCCGACTATATGATACCCTTCACCACTTTGGGTATATGCAACAGATGCGTTCTAACAAACGGTCTGTTTGTGCACCATTAACTTAAAGTCAGACGAAACTATCACGGGAGCTATATCTAAATCTGAACCGATTTTAACGAAATTTAACACACATCATTCTACGCTATGCCAAATTTCGTCCAAATCGAAAGATATATAGGGACTTTGGTGCAACATTCACATTAAATCGGACGAAATTTATATATGGGAGTTATATATAAATCCTTGGGCCAAATAAATGAGCTGTGCCAAATTTCATCCAATTCGGATCATAACTTTATTTACAAGTCAACATGTATAGATAAAGAGACGTACGAACGGATATGCATAAATCGACTCAGAAAGTGATTCTAGGCATATTCACAAAAGTAACCATGTGTCTATCTCGTTTCCGTTAGCTTGTTACAAACATTTGCACATGGACATAATACCCTGTACCACAGTTTGATGAAGGGTATAATTACATAAAAGATTTTTTTTCTACAAAAAATGTAGATTTTTCTAAAATAATGTAATTACTATGTACATTAGTGAGATCATTAAGATTTACGTATAACACAAAAACAACAATCCCTTCCAATTAATCATTGTCAAGTGAGCATCTATGGTTTACCTGACTAAAAATTTGTTGTGGTTTGTGGGAGAAACATAATTCTTTGCACAAATTTCGGAATTTGTTTTCCAAAAACTTTTTAATTTACTTCAGCATTTTCAAACCACTCAGCGGAGCAATATAGTCGAACGGGGCCGACCATACGATACCCTACACAACTACCACGGAACACTAACTTTCTGCGGGTATACTATCAACTTCTCGGGTTTATGTCCTTCAGGGGTAAATCTATACGCTATAGAATACAAATTTTGTAATTTTTCACACAAAAGTCAGGGTTCATTTGACACGCTAAATATTGACCGATCTATATCAAAACAGGTATACTTATTCTTTGGCCCGATCCACTTCTCCATGCAAAAATTCGCGGTGTTTGTGCCATAATTGCGGCCTCTGGAGCGACCTGAAAAACCGACAAAAATTAACTATTTGATCCATTTCATCCCCTAAATATTAACCGATCTTTACCAATTTTTACCATCATTGGGCCGACTCCATCCTATATGCAAAATTTCGTGAAGATTGGTTAATAACTGTGGCCTGTAACGTGTTTACATATTATAATGGGCAAACGGACGGACGGAAAGTAGTAAAGTCGGACGGGGCCGACTATATGATACCCTTCACCACTATGAGTATATTAAACGAATGCATCCTAATAGAAGGACCATTAACATGAAATTGGATGAACTAAAATATGTGACCTTTATCTAAATGTGTACCAGTGTTGCCAAAATTTGATTGAGAAAAAATGCTAGATTTTGTTGAAAAATATGCTAAATAGTGCTAAAAATTTTAGAAAAGTGCCAGAAAAAAGTGCTAAAAATTAATTAAAGAAAATTTGATTATAGTTTATAATGAGATCTATATTTCTTAAAATTTAAATTAATAGCTATGTTGTGAGGGTATTGCAAGTATTTGTGTTTCAATAGTTTGTAACGAATTATTGGTCCTGGACTTACATTTTGGTATACGGATCGTTATATCCCGAATAGCTGAGTCGATATAGATGTATGAGATTATCCGTATGTCCATTAACATTTGTAAACAAAGTAACGGTCATAGCTGTGAAACAATTGTCACGATATTCTGCATATCCGGTTCTGGCCAGTGAAGACACTCATTGCCTTTGGTAAAAACGCTCAATATTTGGCTGTTGAAGTCAACCAAAGCATTTTATATTTGTTTCTGGTCTCTCTCGAGGTCACAAAATTGTAAATGGGGAATATGCTAATGAATAAGCATATTGACCAAGTCAAATTGAAAAAATACAAAATTTGCATTATATGCTATTCACATTTATTCTAGAAGGGCAGAGAGATATTACCGCACTATAGCTATACAATTTTGCATGAAGTTCCCGTTTTGTTGAAGTGCGACATCTGTCGGTTTTGAACGGATAATATTTAGAGGATGAAATAATACAAAAAATATTTTTTTTTTTCTAAATACACTTTTATAACCCGAACACCAATAAATACGGAAAATCTAGTCAACCAAAAAACATGGCTACTTTGATACTTCTTGGATGTTTGTTACTGCAAATGTCATATAACGGTCTAAGTATTGGTCTAGCCCCCATATAACGTTACCCCATCTAAACCGATTTTTACGAAACTTAGCACACGTCTTTCTAGACTTAATTCACTACGCTATGACAAAATTCGTACAAATCGAATGATTTTAAGGGACTTTGGTACACCATTTACATTAAATCGCACGAAAATATATATGGAAGCTATATTCAAATCTGAACCGATTTTTCCCAATTTCAATAGGGTCTGTCCTTGGGCCAAATAGATGAGCTATGCCAAATTTCACCCAATTCGGATCATAAATGTGACCTTTGTTCACAATTTAACATGGACAGACGGACTGACGAACATGCATAAATCGACTTAGAAAGTGATTCTATGTATATACTCAAAAAGAACCATGTGTCTATATCGTTTCCTTTTGCCTGTTACAAACATATGCACAAAGACATAATACCCTGTACCACTGTGTGGTGAAGGGTATACAAATTGTCACTTCCAACATTTTAGCGAGAAGGGATTGGTACTAGACCCACATATTATTATATACATATATCGTATATAAAACAACTGAATTAATATACCTATGTCATTGTTGTAATCAAAATACAGGTCGTAGTTATTGACAAATCGTCACAAAATTGCGTTTAGGTTCGATTCTGGATCGGTTAATATGATCATGAATTATACTGACTTTACAGGGGTCAAAATATTCTGATTATGTTAGCGACTAGCATTATTTTTGGCTCGGAATTTTGATCGGAAATTATCTCAGCAGAAAGTGGATTTGCTTATGGTATCTTTTGTTCGACCGCATCCGACTATACAGTTTTCCTATATGGTTATACATTAAAGTAAGAAACATATACTGTCTTCTCTATTCGATTTGGAGTTATTTCGAAGGGATTTTAGACTATGTTTTTTATGGACACGTTTCCCACATCTATGCTCCGTAGAAAATCAATCCATTCCCAACCGGACTATAATACAGACTGCCGAATTAATAAAAACATATTGAATATTAATAAATATGTTTATAGGCTTAATTTTTAATTGTATTCGGATGGATATTAAATAATAACCGGCTTTTCGTTTTCTACCTAGGGGGAAATCCCTTTTGCCCGACACATTTCGTGTCTGGCAATAGATGAAAGAAAGAGAAATTAATGGGCTCAGTTCGCATGGGCATTGGCATTAGGCAGGTAGCTGGAAATGCGTTGTTGTTAAACAACTTCTACTTGCCTCTAATGAACAACATTTGGGGGTCAAGAGATACTCCAGAAACGGCTGACAATAAAAATATGTATATGAATACAAATGAAGACAAAAATGCAGATGAAAACAAGTTCTGATTTAAATGAAGTTGGTGGTTAGTGGTGTTGTTGTTGCTTCATTTAATCATTTGAGGTAGGTAATGGCTTAAGTGGTATCCACTCAATCAAACACCTTCGATGTTGCTGTGGTTTTTGTAATTTCAGCTAACATTAATTATTATTGTTGTTTTTTTCTTTCGTATGGTCTTTACCTTTAGGTGATCATTTTTGCCAAATATAGGTGACCATTGCCAATAGAAACGAAAGCCGAAGAGAGTTACTGCAGCTGATATGTAATTTGACTACCAAAATTGGCATCTGCAGCGTCGAAACAGAAGCTACCCACATTCGAAGATGAGTTTTCTTCGATATCGTCGTGATTTTAGATTTTCATATAAAACACCAATGGTTACAGCGAATCAACATCAGTCTCAATTCATTCGGAGACAAGTCGCATAGGAATCACCTTTGATCTTCCATTTTTACAGCCTAAGCAAGAAGATTCCTAATATGAAGGTGGGTACATTCAAAGCGGAATTTGGAGTGGTATGGAGTAACTAATGGAATACTTTTTCGAATTCTAGGTTTTCGTGTGTGTTTTAACAGTTTTGGTAGCTTCATGCTCAGCCGGATTCTTGGGCGGTAGCTCTGGTGGTGGATATGCTGCTGGTGGCCATGGAGGTTACAGTGGCGGTGGTGGTCATGGCGGAAGCTATGGCGGTGGCGCTGCAGCTGGTGGTGCAGTTCACACTGTTAAGGTGATCCACCAAGAAGGCGGTGCTGCTCAAGGTGGTTTTGCAGGAGGTTATGGTGGTGGCGCCCAAGGTGGTGCTGCCGTCAAAACCATTAAAGTCATTCATCAACAACAAGCTGGTGGTTATGCTGGAGGTGCCTCTGCTGGTGGTTTCGGTGGTGCCCAAGAGGTTAAGACCGTTAAGGTTATCCATCAACAACAAGCCGGTGGACATGGTGGTTATGCCTATGGTGGTGGTGCTGGTGCCGCTGTTGGTGGTCAAGCCGTTAAGACAATTAAAATTGTTCACCAACAACAACAGCAACAACAACAATATGGTGGTTACTCTGCCGGTGGCGCCCAAGAAGTCAAGACAATCAAAGTGATCCATCAACAACAACAGCAACAAGGTGGATACTCAGCTGGTGGTTATGCTCATGGTGGTGCTGTCGCTGGTGGCCAAGAAGTCAAGACCATTAAGGTTATCCATCAACAACAACAGCAGCAAGGAGGACACGGATACGCAGCCGCCGGTGGTCATGGTGGTGCTCAACACGTCAAAACCATTCAAGTTGTCCATGAACAAGCTGGTGCTTCTGCTGGTGGTCAAGGTGGTTACTCCTATGGTGGTGGTGCTGCTACTGGTGGTTACGGAGCTGCTGAAGAAGTAAAAACCATTAAAGTTGTCCACGAACAAGGTGCTGCTGCTGGTGGTTATTCCGGTGGTTACTCCGCTGGCGGTCACGGTGCTGCTGAGGAAGTTAAAACCATTCAAGTTGTCCACGAACAAGGTGCTAGCGCTGGTGGTTATTCCGGTGGATTCTCTGCTGGCGGCCATGGCCACGGTGCTGCTGAAGAAGTAAAAACCATTCAAGTTATCCATGAACAAGGTGGTGCTGCCGCTGGTGGAGCTCAAGGTGGTTATTCATATGGAGGTGCCAGTTCCGGTGCTGCTCAAGAAGTTAAGACCATTCAAGTTGTCCATGAACAAGGTGGTGCTTCGGCTGGGGGTTACTCTGCCGGTGGATACTCCGCCGGAGGATACTCATCCGGTGGTTACTCGGCCGGTGGTGCTAGCGCCGCTGCTGAACAAACTATTAAAGTTATTCACGAAGAGGCATCTGCTGGAGGTTATTCTGCTGGTGGTTATGGCGGTTTTGCTGATGCTGGCGCTTCTTCTGCTGCTGGCACTGGTGGCTTCGACGATGCACTTGAAACTTTGAAATCCCTTAAAGTTATCGGTGCTTTGGGTGCTGATGGTGGTGCCGGTGGTTATGGTGGTGCCAGCGGCGCTGGTTCATATGCCGGTGCTTCTTCAGCTGGTGGTTGGCAATAAGCCCACACCTCAAGTATTCTGTGATCTTTTACAATCATACCACCACTCATCGTTAATCGCCCATTGATCCATTCGCTCGCTAGGGCATGAATGCTCTAAAATCTGTTGTTATTAGTTTTATAAGTAGTCCAATATTTGGCTTTAGTTATTTAAGTCATACATGAATTCATTTGGCGGTCAATTCGTCCCCATCTAATAAATTTAAATAGAAAATTTAAAAAGAAAAACATTTTTTATCTTATTTCATAAATCATCCTTATTCCAAAACCAGTAAGTTTTGTTCCTAATGGCCATATTTTGGGTCCTACTTAAAATCGGACGAACATATATATGAGAGCTATATCTAAATCTGAACCAATTTTCAAGAAATTTTATACACATCATTCTAGACTCAATCCAGTATGATATATAGGGACCTTGGTATACCATTCACAACGGGCGAACATATATATGAGAGCTATATCTAAATCTGAACCGATTTTACGGTATGGCAAATTTCATGGAAATCGAAGGATATATAGGGACTTTGGTGAAATATTTACATTAAATCGGTCGAAAATACATATGGGATCTATATCCAAATCTGAACCGATATTCAAGAACTTTAACACACAGTATTCTAGACGCAATTTAGTATGCCATGCCAAATTTCGTGCAAATCAGAAGATATATAGGGACTTTGGCATACCATTTACCTAAAATCGGGCGAACTATATATGGGAGCTATATCTAAATCTGAACCGATTTTCACGAAACTTAGCACACATCATTCTGGACCTAATTCATTACCCTAAGCCAAATTTCGTGCAAATCGAAAGATATATAGGGACTTTGGTGCCCCGTTTACCTTAAATCGGACGAAAATATATATGGGAGCTATATCTAAATCTCAACCGATTTTCACGAAACTTAGCACGCATCATTCTGGACCTAATTCAGTACGCTATGCCAAATTTCGTGCAAATCGAAAGATATATAGGTATTTTGGCGCCACGTTTACCTTAAATCGGACGAAAATATATATGGGAGCTATATCTAAATCTGATCTGATTTTCTCGAAACTTGGCACACATCATTTTGGACCTAATACAGTACACTATGCCAAATTTTGTGCAAATCGAATGATATATAGGTACTTTGGTGCCTATATCGGACGAAAATATATATGGAAGCTATATCTAAATCTGAACCGATTTTCACCAATTTCAATAGGGTTCGTCCTTGGGCCAAATAAGTGACTTGTGCCAAATTTCATTCAAATCGGATCATAAATGCGACCTGTACTTTAACATCTACAGACGGACAGACGGGCGGACATGCATAAATCGACTCAGAAAGTGATTCTATGCATATTCTCGAAAGCAACCATGTGTCTATTTCGTTTCCGTTTGCCTTTTACAAACATATGCTCAAAGATACAGGGATTAGTACCACAGTGTGATGAAGGGTATAAAAATCTCTATCATCAAATTTTCTCAAATATTTTAAACTGAAACACAAAGCCTATTACACATC